TCTTCATGCGTCATATTAATACCCCGATAAGAGTTTCCTTGAAAATGACGTAGTTTCAAATCCGAAAGACGCATAAACAATGGAAACCCTAATGGATTGGTGTTTGTCCAAAATTGTTGATAAAACGGTGTTTCCAATGAATAGAGTGTCAATAAAGATTCAATTTTATCTTGTTGAATATATTGATTAAGTAGGAAACAACAACGTTTATATTCTGGATGATCGGGAGTAACATGTTCATCTAACAATTTTTTCAAAGTATGTCGTTCAAATCCCTTATTTGCAACATATACATATTCTTCGTCACTATACCCACAGTCCGCTTTGCAAATTCCATGTTTCATAGATTTTTTCATGATGAATCGTCCTACTCGTGACTGAAGCATTTTTTTCACGCCACTAAGACCATCCAATTGTCTTTTTATTTCTTCATTTGTCTGATATCCAGTGAGCCATCTTTTGTTTGGTTTAGTAACATCATCATCATCATCGTCATTGCTACTATGATCATCATTGTCATGATTGTCTAATTCAGTTTTATCTGAAAATGATGAAACAATTTGAAATGTTCGTTTCATACTGTTTGATTCATCAAAGAATCGATTTTTATTCGATGGCCGATGATAGAGTTGTCGCATTTCATCTGTTTGTGCTTTTTCATATGCTGTTAAGCCATCAAGATTTTGTTGGTGACGGAGACAACCGTATTCATGTAGAAGTAGACGAACGATTTCTAAATGACCAAAGTATGTTGCAGCATGAAGTGGAGTACTTCCGTTAGGTTCTAGTTGATTTAATCGATCATAAGGAATGGTAGGTAATATTTGTTTGACTGTATCAATGTCTCCATTTTTGCATGCAAAATAAAACTGGCTTACTTCGTCTTGTCGTGAATGTTGTCTTACGTGTTCTTCATTATCAGCACTAGTCTTTATAAATGATTTCAATTTTCCGTTTATTTTCTTGTCAAAAGAACTATGTTTTATGTATTGACTTTGTTTCATATTGTCATTATGACGGAGACAAGACTAAAGAGCTAAAAAATGCAATAATATGTAAACTTTCTTTTATATTTCTCTAAATGTCGTATTAGTGTCTATATACGCAATATCTTCTTTACTAAACTACCTTGAATATTCGCATGTATGTCTCATTTTATTCCTATTTTAATACAAAGATTTATTTGATATAATTATTTCATCACATGTTAAATCGAAGATCAATGATTTATAAACAAATAAATACGTACAAACAAGCAAGACAGATTGCTTTCTGTTTTCTTTTATATTAGTCATTATTCAATAGTGAGACGAGAAAAAAAAAGACGGCAATAGTAATTGCTAGATGCTTATGAAATCCTTTATCGTCATTACTATTGAATCAAGACTAATGTAAAACAAAAAAGAAAGAAAATGCTCCAGTTTGTTTCATCTTACTTATTTATTTATAAACCACTTGTCATCTCATTGAGATATGAAGCGTCACAATTTGAGTAAATTCTTAATAAGTTCTTAATATTCCATTAAATAACATAGAAGAGAATTAATTCATGCCGATGCATGCAAAAAAAAAAACTTTCTTCAATAATCATGAAATAGTCGATTTTTCATTCATTATAACCATATGATTTTAATTAAACAATTTAAGCAGAATTAATCACAAATGAATCTTTCATAAATCAATTATTTCGTTAGTATTGAAGAGATTTTTTTTATGTAGAACCTGCCTCACTTTATTTATTGGTATGTAATATTACGCTACTTGATTTTGCAGCTTGACAAAGTAATATTTGTCCAATAAGACGATATATTTCAAAAAAAAAAGTAATAAATGAATATGACAGAAAAGAATATTCAATGACGCACGAATACATGAGCAACTATTATTAAACAGTGTCTATCACCTTGTCTTTCTCAAAGCATTAAAGGACGGGAAGTCACGTGGAAAATAACTCAAGTCCGATGTGTCAATGATATATAAATATTTTAATGAGTCATAAATGATTCATCTACCTCTTCCTAAAGAAATACTTTCCAAAGTTTTAGAGTATCTAAAAGGTTTATAAAATGGAGTGTAGGTGAAAAGAATGTTTCCTTACAGTCACACGTAGACTCTCCAATCTATCAGGTAGAAATAGGTGAGTGTTCGTTTATATTTGCTTTCACCTATATCCATATTGCTTCCTTGATCTTCCTTTCTTCTCCACTGCTTATCTACTCTGTATGGTTCTTTCTTTTAGCATAGTATATGAGCGTATATTGTCTGTGAACAGTAGTTAAATTCTGAACATATTAAAGTAGCTCAATAAACATCATTAACAAGGACGGAGTGGAACTACTTCTACAGTTTGTCATTACAGTAGTTACAGTTGAAACAATATTATCTTTGCTTCTTTGGCATAGTTATATATAGGAATGAGAGTGTGAGTGTAGGGAAAGTCATCATCAACATCCATACCCACACTCATCCACATCTACACCCACACTCTTTATGCAAGTATTGATGATCATAAAGTGTTCAATAGCAAATTTACCGAGTTCATTAAGTTTGTTTTGCAGAGTCATAATAGTCGATAAATGTTCACAAAAGGATGGATGTGGATATTGGCATGAGTGTTCTTTTCATCCTAAATTCACATCTATACCGTAATCTAAAATAGTATGGAAGTATTCGTGATTCGATTGAAGTAAACTTTATACAACATTTATACAAGTTTATAAAACATTCCAAAGGATATCGAATAGAATAACTCAGGAAAATATTTTTTCCTGCATGTCTCAGTTTAAGTAACAGATGTAAAGAATAATCATACCAAAACTCACACCCACGCCCCAGACTCTATTGAAAATGTTTAAATGCGTATTGTCTATTTATATTTGTTATATTTAGAGAGTTAAGAAAATTTCAAATGAAAATGAAAACAGAATGAAAAGAAAGAATGCAGAGCTCAATTAACGATCGTCGATTTGTATGACTGTCTTGTTTGGCGTATTATTCAAATTAGCTATACGAGTAGTTCCCTAGACTGTAAGGCTAGGGTCTAGAAACGGGAATTCATCTCACTGCACGTATCGTTTTTGTCGGTAACATGGCACAAACGACCATTTTTTTGGTATAAACGACTAGTTTTTTGGCACAAATGACCATTTTTTTGGTACAAATGACCATGTAACTATGGCATAAATGACCATTTCGGTAAGTATGGTACAAAAGACTATATAGCACCCATATTATAAATCAGCATATGACGTATAATAAAATTTTGACAAGTGAATCAGAACAAATACGTATTTTTATGATGTATGAAAACGATATTATTTTAAATATGATTTTTTTTGAGTATAAACAGCGCTAATTTTATTAGCGCTTTTTTGTACTCAAAAGAATTTTAGTAGTAACTTTTTAATCTTAATCTTATAACTTTCTAACATATGTATGTCGTTATGGCGTCAGTCTAGGATCAGGTGAATCGACTGTCGATGAACGTTACTTGTCTGTAACATGGTACAAATAACCATTTGGTAACTATGGTACAAATAACCATTTGGTAACTATGGTACAAATGACGATGTAGTAATATGGTACATACGAATGAGTATTTGATAGTCATGCGACAAAGGGTCATCTAGTGACAATGGTTGGAATGATTGTGAAGGAAACTAGATTATTTTTCAATACTGTATAGATGAGCACGTGATGTATCAATTAATTAAAAATTGATAAGTCAGTCTGAATACATAATTTTATAACAAATAAGATCATATTCTTTAAATAATGTAGTATAAATAAATGTGATATATAATTTGTTTTGAGCGCAAATAGCGCTAATATAAACTAATGTCCATTTCAAATTAAAAGAAGGGTGATTGTTTTTGAATAATTTTTGAACGGTAATAGCTATCGATCTGCGGTTTTCACCATCAGAAAGAGGCAGTGATTCTGCATCGTTCTATATAAATAGTAATCAGTTCAATTCATAAGTTGGATGAGTAGTCCGTGAAATTCAAAGAAGCATTGAAAGTGCTATAAAAGTTGTATGGAATTTCAATTGTATGGAGTGCATTAGATAGCCCTACTCAAGATCTACAATTCTGCATAAATCCGAATTTTTTATCTAATTTCGTTCAAAAGTTATAGGTCCTACAATAATCATCAAAAACGCTTAAAATACATCAATAATATTTTTTCAAAGTTCAGTATTTTTGATGTTATCTAGAAATAACTAGGTTTTCGATCATTCTGAATCGAATGGAACTATACATTTTGTAAAGAAATCTTTCTTTGGTCGGGGAAAATTGATACTACTCACGCTACATCATAGTTCGATTGTCCTACTGTCAAACTAAAATGACACAAAAGCTATTACACTTTGAAAATCTTCTTTAGCATATTTAATGGAATATATAGTTATCTTTAAAGTACTACTTGGTAGTAGAAAAGAATGAAAACAAAATAAATTTTGCGTATCAATCAGTCATATCTTCGGCTTCAGAATCCAATTCCTCGTCATCATCACCATCCAATAAGTCTTCTTCGAGTTGGGTGTGGGTGTGAGTGTGGGTGGGTATGAGTATGGATGTGGATGTGGAGCGTGGCTGAGCTTGTCATTCACACCCACATCCCACACCCACACCCTACTTATGATTAAATTCAATTATTTTGATTGTAACTCTTCTCTTATTCGATGTACACTTTTCTTAAACGGACTTTATTCAATAAAAAGTTGTGTTTCAAGTACAACAAACTCTTGTACTTCTTGATACTTTTATCACAAGTAGAATATCGCATATAATAAATGAGTTTATATAAATATAAAAAAGAGAGAATATCGATATGAATATGGATAAATAAAAAGATAGAAGAATAATAAAGAGTATATGATTAAAGATATATATGAGAAAGCGAATATATAACATAGTAACATATCATTGAGTAATTTGTCAATAAGGAGTCCTGTCGCAGTAATATCTGTTACACAGTTGCTGTTGTTATATTCTAAATTAACAACATGAACACGTATTTAAAAAGATGCCTACACTTGGAGTGCCTGCATTTGCAAGAGCGATATCTGGTCGACTGTCGCCGTTGAAATCTCCAGTGGTGATCGTATATGGCTGAGAACCAGCTGAAAGCCTGATTGCTGTTGCGAAAGATCCGTTACCATATCCGAGTAGCACCGATATGCTCCCACTACCACCATAATTAGCAACAACTATATCAAGTTTATTGTCATTATTGAAATCGGCGACAGCGACCGAGTGTGGATTCGTTCCACTTCCTGTTGAAAATGTCATTTGCGATGCAAAGGTGCCATTGCCATATCCAAGAAGTATGCCGACAGAGTTACTATCAAAATTGGTAACAGCGAGATCCAATCGAGAATCGTTGTTAAAATCACCGCTAGTGATCCCATAAGGATTAGTTCCAACTGTAAACGTCATTAGACCTGCAAAAGACCCATTTCCACGACCAAATAGTATAGCTACATTGGCACTAAGTTCAATGGCAGCCGCAATATCCAGTATATTATCCTGATTGAAATCACCAACAACGATTGCGAACGGTCCATTACCTATTTGAAATACGAGTTGATTTGAAAAGGTCCCATTACTATAACCAAGAAATACACTGACAGTAGTAGTGAGTTTATTGCCCACAACAATATCTTGATTATTATCGTTATTGAAATCACCAACGGCAATTGGTATTGGGCCAGAGCCGTTTGCAAATGTCTTCTGTGATGCAAACGTTCCATTTCCATATCCAAGAAGGATACTCATTGTATTATCATTATAATTGGTAACACGCAGATCTAGTTGATTGTCGTGATTAAAATCAGCTACGGCGATCCCAAATGGAGTATTACCAACTGGAAACATTGTTCCCACGGTGAAAGTTCCGTTACTATAACCAAGGCGTATACCCGCAAAGCTACCATCAGAATAAGTTATATCTGATCGATTATCATTGTTGAAATCGGCAACAGCGATCCCCCGACAACTAGTACTAGCTGGATATGACACCATTGATGATAACGTTAAGTTACATAATGCAGCTAGAACAATAAAAGCAAATCGACAATATGAAGAATATTCAAGCAGACTACGCCAACACTAAAACTACTGATTAGAATATTTCTACACCAAGTTTCGCATTTAGAAAACATATATCCATTGTTAAAACGCTTTTTTTCCTTCCCAAAATTCCGATGATTATATAATCCACTTTTACTGTCAAAATATGTCAAAACAGTTATTAAGCTAACGATTCACTCCTATCGGAAGACTGGCTTGTTCAAATCCGAAACTATTCAGCGAACTAAGAACAAATTAAATTGACCGGTAACTTACATGAAAACTGCCAGTTTCGTTGATCATACTCGTAACAGATAATGGTTGTCGATCGGTTCAGTACGACACAGAGGCTGTGGGGTAGGTGTGGGTGCGGGGTGTGGGTATGGGTGTGGGTGTCGGTGTAAGGTGTGTAGTGGGTGTGGGTATGGGTGTGGGGTGGTGAGTGTGGGTGTGGATGTCGGTGTAAGGTGTGAGGTGTGAGTGGGATGTGAGTGTGAGTGCATCTGAAGAAGACAACAACACCGACACCCACATCCACACCCACCCACATTATAAAAATGCAAATATTGCCCTACTTGTTGTTGTTGTTGTCGTCATTGATGTTGTCGTTGTCGTTGATGTTGTCGTTGTCGTTGATGTTGTTGTTGTTGTCATGGATGTTGACGTTGTTGTTGTCATGGACGTTGACGTTGTTGTTGTCGCTGTTGTTGTTGCTATTGTCGTTTTAGAGATGCCGATCAGGGCGACAAGCATTGCAGCAATTCCCGCACCAAGAAGAAGAAGAGCAAATAGAGACAGAATTAAACAGACAGGTGAATATTGGCAACGAATGTGTTTAAAATAGCTAAATGAAACATTTTTAATAGTTAACAAGAAAAAATGCAAAACAATTATTTGCTGTTTCTTTTTATTTCTGTTGGCTGCTTGGTGATGGATATCGTTAGAATCCATTCCATTTGACAATGAGCCAGTTGTCTGAATTAATTTAAAAGACGAACATAGACAAAATAAAAAGGATAAATAGTTTCATTTTGATTTCAGTTTTATCATTGAATCAAACAAAATTCTTTGTAATTACAACTCAAATACAAATGAGACCCATTGGGACAAAGATAATTTTATATTTAACTAATGGAAATAGAAATATCACCAAAACTAACTCACTTAAGTTTTTACCAATCAATATTTGTTGATCATTCGTTATCTTTCTAAATTATATTCTCGAAACTCCCTCAATCTATCATCTGACTTTTAATCGATCTCTAACCTGTCTTCTAAGGCAAAGGCAGGTGTTTTGATGGAACCAGGAAAAGTTCAATTACAATAGGGAAACTAACTAAGAAAAAGGCTATTGAAATACGTATAACATGATAGTATTTCCTTGCGCTTTCGACCCTTATTTAGTACTTCCCTTTTGAAATACTTTTTTTCGACATAGACGCTATGTAAACCAATATATTCCCAGTTTGTTTTATGGAAACAATGCTGAAAGGCAAAGATTTTTCCTTAAAAACACGTCAAAATACAGTTTTTGAGCAGCAGGATGCGAAAGTTCTCTAGTTTCGTTGTCATTCTGTCCTTTCTCACTAAATTTTTTAGATATAAATTCTATTTCTTAAAATTAGTCGTTGTATGGATTCAAATTACGTTGCCCATTGATCGAAGAGAAAGAAGTGTAGAAAGCATACATAAAAATCGTTTACTGATAGAAAAACATTCGATTTTTATTACAATGATCATTCTCTCAGTCTGGAGAACCACTTCATTAAGAGTTTAGCTAACAGAGTATGTGGTCAAATATATTAGTTGCACACAAATATACTTATTAGGGTAAAAATTGTTGGACACTCTCTATCGGGTTTTGCATGAAACTAGAACTGTTGACCGTTTCTTAAATTCGATGAAGATGTATATACTTCAAATACGAACTTATTCATAGAACGAAAACTAAACAATTTCAGGATCTTCAATAATAAATATTTAGGCGTATAGAATCTAATAATGAGCATACTCCTCATTTTGCTATCTCACCTGTATTGATGACGGAGAATATTGATCAATTTTGGTGGCACTGTCGGCAGGTGTTTGATTGTTGACTGATTTACCAAAATTTTGACTGACAATTTGCGTGGCAGATTTATTCTGGGGAGAGGTATCTCTCATGTATTTCTTCTTTCCTTCCTCCTCCCCTCCAATCACAGCAACCTGGGATTTGCCTTGATGATAACGCGCAGCTAACATAGTTGACATCTATTTGCACAAAGAGAAAATATGAATAATCGAAGATTTTAGGAATATAACCGGGAACAAAATGTCTTGAGGTTTGGCAAACTGATTGTTCGTCGGATGGATGTTGTTTTTGGGTGGTCGGATGGTTGCATAGATAACAAAACGAGATGGCATATCTTTTATCGATGAATGATGATACTAGATTGAATGATTTGTAAGAATATAGACAGAAATTGCAATGGTGAATTACGCACTTGATGAGAAACTTTACCGACAGGCGGTACCGATAGCGGAGGATAACACGGAATAATGTGTGGATCTGCAAGTATAGTTAACAATACTGGATAAGAATGATTACCCTGTGTTTTGCTATGTTTATCGACCTGATCTTGATTGTAGTGTGCGATTGTGTTCGATAAGAAAATGAGCGTTTGTGTTTCATTTCACTGATGTATCGTCGTATTATATATTGCAGGCAGGAGAAAGAGAATTAGTAGATAAATATGCATGTTGTAGGTTTCTTCAGGATGAGGTGATGTATGTTATACAAAGCCTTCTTGCATATAGATATGAGACACTCAGCTTTCATTGAATAAATTTTCTAATGAAAAAAAATTGAATTAAGATATTTTTCTTTTTTTACATCTAATACAAAGTCATGAATTTCATTTACATAAAATTACCGCGCAAACGAGAGTTAATTGAAAATACCACTTGAATTCTTCCCTTTTTTTCTTGAAATCTCACTGACAACACTCAGATGTTTTTTTTACCTTTGTATGCAACACGCAAAGAAAAATCGTAAGCCTCGTATCACCTCAAATCACTGGTCTTTTAATTCTGTGTGACTTGCTGTATGAGATCTGTAGGTGATAATTGAAATCATATTGTAGTATATTTCAATAGTAAGGAGCAAATCAGTCTATGATTTTTTCGATTTAAAACTGAAATCGAGAATAGATATTCACAAATAGTTTTCAATAGTAGAGTAGAATCAATGAAATTTTCTTTCAATTGAGATATGCAACTATTTTATTTCTCAATGCAAATATTGTGATTCAACTCAACGATGTCAAACAAGTTTGAACATTGGCGTACTGTGATACCATTCTTTGAAAATCAATCAGAAATCCACTGCGCAGATAATTCGTTGCCAGTCATTTCGACTTCAGTTTATTTCTTGTATAAAGCAAAAAGAAAAAATAATTAAATCGAAAGAAGCGCTTTCTTTTTCGCTTCTAATCCAATGCAACACACAACTCAATCTTTGCAACAATAAATAGGTGTCTGTGGCAATAATAAAATATAGAATAGTATTGAAATTGAATTGCGTTTGAAATATTAAAGCCTAGGAAAGAAATTGAAAGAACGAAAAAAAACTAGTTTTACACGTTTTGGGCTCTTTACTAAACTAACATCTCAGTTAAGAGGGTATAGGGAAAGGTAGAATTTTCATATCTGAAATTTAAATCAAGTTAAGCTCTAAACAGAATATTCGACAGCATTTTCCAGTCTACATTTTCTTTTATTTTTAGTTCATACTTCGAAACACGCACTAATGCAAAATAAGCACCATCAATTGCTAAAAATCAGATTACAAGAGTCTTTTTAGTATTACTCTATATCAAAATTCTATATCAACAAACTGAATTTCAAGCTTTACAATTTTTGGTTTATTTCATTTGGTAGATTTTTCTTCTGAAAATTCAATTCATTTGAAATTCAGTTATACTTTTTATTGTTGTGATCGAAAATTGTTCCTTATTCTGAAGATTAAATCGTGCGCTGCATTGAATAAGAAGCCAAAAAGGAGTCTATGGGTTTTTTTAATTCAAATTGAATTTTGAAAAAAAAAACACGTCATTTTTACCAAGGCAGAGGAACTAAGGGGACTAACAAAATTCTTTAAATTCCATACAATGGGTTATTTAATTTCAATCTGAATTTAAAAAAAAAAGAGCACTTGATTTCAAATTGAAATAAGGGACTAAGGGGACTAAGAAATTCTTTAAATTCAGAATTCAAGAATTCTTTGGTACCTTGTCTCCTCTTCCTTATAAAAACGGGGACTAAGGGGACTAAGGGGACTAAGGGGACTAAGGGGACTAAGG